CCGACCAGCGTACTTGGAGAGCCCACTTCCTAAGGACAATTGTAAGCCGACAAAAAGCCAAGTCTAGGCCGATTCACGAGAGACGTAGCCTACCTGGTGTATCAAGAGCCAGACATGAATGCCCACTCTCAACCAAATGAGGTGTCACGGTTTCGTAGAAGGAGTGAGAGGAGCCCAAGCCATGAATTAAAACGAATGTGAACCCCTCCTTGGAGCTGGCGGGAGTCCACCTGTAGTAGACATCTTGGTCTTGGAGTCTGAGAGTAGGCATTGTGTCTGCTTGTGAGAAGATTCTTCGAGGATACGAATCACAGTCACCTCGCCGTTTCTTGATGTACCATCATGGAGCAAATGACGTTGCCTGACACCCTAAAGGAACTAGAACGGCATTTCCGCTGACCGACACGGAAGCGGCATAAATTTCGGGGCGCCAAAGCCGGGCGGCTGGAAGGCGGAAAGGATTCTCGCTGGCGGGGCCGCTTGCGGATGTGGGCGTGGATCAAGCACCGGCGTCATTAGCAGCGTCTCTGAGCCACTAACGTAAAATCCTAGTACATACAGACCATTGTCCCAGCCTGGAAGCAAGCCTACCTGCTGAAGACCCGACTTCCCGTTGCCCGTGTACACCACTAGGTAGATCACAGGTCTAACCCATAGCACACTCCTCAGCCAACAACCATGACAGAGACACAGGACAAGTATAGCTCCATATCGGAGAGCTCCCGGATATTCCACGTGCTACTGGACACACTGAGTGATGGCATCTCCATCCCAGATGCCGCGCTGGGCAACGAGAAGAATGTAAAATTTACAGGGGAGCGAGATAAGCCTTACTTCCCTATTCCCTTCAAGGAGACGGAGACGACTGCTGCCCTGAAAGCCGTAGAAAGCATTATTGCTGCTTCGCTTGCGGATGCGAAGTATGGGGAGAACTCGACGCGGTCCATTGTTGTGGACCAGGAAAAGACGACTGCCTTCCTCTTCCAAGCGTATTTGGCCAGGATAGGCGGACTGGGAAAATTGGACAAGGATGTTAGGAAGTTATTGAAAGGTATATTGCTTCTCTTATGCTCAAAATTTGTCTTATTGGTTGCTACATGTAGGCTAACCTCATCCCCAAGATACTGATTTACTTCAAGCTCAGTCAAATGGATACCGACGCATGTCGGCGAACCTTTACGCAACAGCTGAGCCTGGAGAGTATTATCATATTCATGGATCTCTGGAAGCTTCGACAACTCTTGGAATGATTGGGCTGCCTTCTCATCGGCCAGATTTAGACACACATGAAAAGATTGTTGGGGTTATCGAACCTGCCGTTCGAAAATTCACGGTGGCAGAGCTGGAGAAACTGAATGCCGAGAACCGCCAGGCGGGTGTCAAGGCATACAAGCATGATGAGTTCTTAAAGACCCCCCACGTACGATTCATCCCGTCATTCCATGAGAATCCATTCAAGCTAACGTGAAAGTAGGGACAAACTATCAGCAACCAGCTTCCATGGACGGTTGAGAGTCTTGAGACCGAGACACCTGCTGCACCGCTCCCTAAAACCGACGATAAGCGCCTTCTTTCGGGCATCAAAGTCCTTGAGATGTGCCGAATCATTGCTGGACCCATCATTACACGAATCTTGGGCGAGTACGGCGCTGATGTGCTCAAGGTTACGAGTCCACACCTGAGCGATGTGCCGTTCTTTCAGGTAGATGGAAATATGGGGAAACATGCAGCGGATCTCGACCTGAAAACCCCAGAGGGTAGGGAGGCCTTCGAGAAACTCGTACAAGAAGTCGACATTGTGGTCGATGGGTACCGCCCTGGAGCGCTCGATAAGCTTGGATACGGGGCCAAGTTCATGACCGAGCTCGCGAAGAAGAGAGGGAAAGGGATCGTATACGTCAACGAAAACTGCTTCGGGTACTCTGGCGAATGGGCACATCGCCCTGGATGGCAGCAAATTGCTGATTGCGTGAGTGGTAACTTTTACTTTCGGGAGTCGCAATACTTTACTGACAGTGCTATAGGTCAGCGGTGTGGCATGGGAGCAGGGTCGTTTCATGGGTCTCAACGAGCCCGTCGTACCCCCGTTTCCTATATCTGACTATGGGACTGGCTGCATGGGGGCTATTACCGCCCTGGCAGGTCTACTTCATAGAACGGTACGAGGAGGTTCTTGGCACGGGAAAGCATCACTGCTACAATACGACATGCTACTCTTCAAGGTGGGAATGCTGCCTAAAGAAGTGCAAGATGAGCTCCGCCAGCAGATTGGCCCAGATTTCCTTGCCCTGAGACATGCTCACAGCGTGGATCAAATCTCAGGAACGGCCCTCAAACAGATGAGAACGGTCTTCCCTAAATTTGTGGAAAATCCGGAGTATCTAGATCATTGGTACTCCAAGGCATATGACGCCCCCATTTCTGCTGTTAAGCCTGTGGCTGAGATTGATGGTCTGGACATTGGTTTCCTTCGAGCCAGCAGACCGAACGGAGCGGATGAGGCATCTTGGGACTTCCATGATGAAGACCGGAGGATTTAGAAAGAGAATTAATTAATTTAGAAATAAGTAGAGCGACAAATAAAGGCGATTGCTGAACTACGTCCATACCTAAAAATAACACCTTTCCTGAAACAAGTAGCTTATATTAACTACCATTTTGAATTGCTGCGAGGCTAGAATCTTTTAACTTGTGCGGCTACTATGATACGCATAGTATTTCTAGATTATCTTTATGATTACATAGTTCTAATTTCTAGCATGCTTCTCAAGACTAGGGTTTCCGTATTCCGCACCTTCTTTGATGCATCTCTGATTCTGGGGGGTTCGTTTCCCCAACCCGGTTTCAACGTTGTAGATGCCCCGCAGATCTGATCGTGTACATTTTGGGTTATGGAAAACCGGATATATGATTAGATTGGATTTTGAATTTATAGCATCATTTCTTTGTCATGTTAATATGATCTCGTATTTTTCTCGTACTAAGGGGGCGTTTCGGGAAAGGGGCGGAACTGGCGGATGTCAGCGGATAGCGGTAATGTTCCTCATCGGATCCGCCAACTCCATACTTTGGGCCAATTGCGCTCACCCGCCAACAATCCTGCTAACAAACTTCCATCCAATGTCAAACAGCGTCCCCCGCATAAAGAGGGCCATATTAGCGGGGAGAAGGAGAAGCATGGGCAAAAACTTGGGGTAGCCGACCCCGTCCGTTCAGTGTGTGTACTCCCAATTCCGTCTGAGGCTACAGGCTAATGTTCGACCTATGTCCGTCTAGGTATTAATAACTGGTCCGCTCATAAATCTGTTCTCGCCATCTTGCTCTAGTCTATACGTCAACACTTCCAATCCGTTTCCCTCCCTTATCCGAGATACCCTGATTCCAAGATCCCACATTCAAAGACTGGCAGCAAGATGAGCAAAATGGCAACGCAACCTGGCGGTAATCTTGGGCCCGAGTTCACCCAAAAGGTGATTGACTCTATGGGCCCCAACACGCCTCCCCGCCTCCGTAAGATCATGGATTCCTTTATCCGCCACATTCACGCTTTTGCCAATGAAGTGCAACTCACTAGTGATGAATGGCTCCTCGGCGTGGAGATGATCAACTGGGCGGGCCAGATGAGCAATGAGAAGCGCAACGAGTCACAGCTCATGTGCGATGTCATTGGATTGGAAACGTGAGTCTCGCCCAATAAGAGTTTTTAAGCCATTGTTGTTGACACCCGCCATCTAGCCTCGTGGATGATATCACTTATACTGCGGCGACAAAGAGCGTCAACGGACTCACTGCATCTGCTATCTTGGGTCCCTTCTACAGACACGATCACCCTGTGCGCAAGAATGGCACCACCATCAGCTTCAACACCCCCAAAGATGCTAAGCCTGCTTTCATGTACGGTCGGGTTACCGACGCAGTTACGGGCAAACCCCTGGCCAACACTAGCATCGACGTCTGGCAAGCCTCCACCAACGGTAAGGCCGAGAACCATGTGTCACGCTGTGATGAGTGATAGTCTAATCATGTGATCGAACTTCAGGTCTATACGAGCAACAAGACCCGGAGCAAGAAGACTTGAATCTCCGTGGAAGATTTATTACCGACGCCGAAGGCCGCTATTCTTACTACTGTCTCCGACCAACCCCATACCCTGTAAGTCTCAAGGTTACCGACCACGCTTGAATGTGTTCTAACCAGAATCTTAGATCCCAGAAGACGGCCCAGCCGGTAAAATGCTTCGCATGATGGATCGACATTTCTACCGTCCCGCGCATATTCATTTATTTGTAAGTGATTGTGTAAAGTTATTGCGTGAGACCCTCACCGCTAATACGGTTCTTCCAGGTTCGATCTGAAGGATACAAGCCGCTTGTTACTCAGATTTTCGATAAGGACTGCACTTACTTGGGAAATGATACCGTTTTCGCTGTCAAGGACGAGTTGTCGGTGGAATTCAAGCCTCGTACTGGGGACCCCGAGGCGTCTTGGGAGGTGGAGTATAATATTACACTGGCGAGCTCAAGCTCATAAGCATTGTATGTATTTAAGTAAGCAGCATAAGATCATGTCATTTAGCAAGAGAAACTGAGCACTGCAGCTGTCCATGTAAGCCCAATTTGCTGAACAACATGATTGGTGATTCCAGACTTTGCACCCCACGTTTGACGTTACCCTGAGCAGTTCGTGGTGTCGTACAGTGGTCAGGTGGTTCGTCCGTGCCCAATCATTGGATTTGAGGCGTTGGATACAAGATTTATTGTTGCATTTCCCGTGCTGATGGTTCTGAGGGCCCAGCAGATGCCAATAATTGGCTGTTCATGTTACATCAAGGGCTTGACTTGCATCTTACGTTTGGCGCATGTGAATATTGGGCATCAAGGGACCTCGCTTCGTGAGGGAATAAAGAACCCTTCTGCCCACCAATCTACTGATTTCATCAGTTACCTTTTAGTGTTACCCCTCAGGTGAGGAACACTGGTCTACCTCAGGTACTCACGAAAATGATGAGCGACGAGAGAAGCAACGAGGTGGATGCGCGGGATTGGGCGTCGTCAAAGCCACTTGAATCGTTAGTACTTGTCAAACTACTTGAAGAGTGCTGTATTGACTTGAGCACAGCCCTTACTCCAGCAGAACATGCGCCCTGTTCTTTGAAGACGAAGGTCCTATTTATGTTCACAGGACGCTGCTTGATGCGAGCCCCAAGCTCGACCCTAAGAATGGCCGCCTCGATTTTGATAACATCCCAATCGATGTTGGCCACATTCTTGTTCATTTTCTTCTGACAAAAAAATACGAATACCTTAGACTCAGGCGACAGGCTAAGGATAAGGACCTGGACGAATTCAACACTGCTCTCTTGGCTTGTAGAGCCGCCACAACCCTCGAGTTACCCGCACTCTTTCTTCTTGCAAAAGAGCAATTAGAAGCAGTTGGAAACCAGTTGAAACTGACCTCTATCGTTCGGGCAATTGAAGCACTGAGTCCGTCACCCATCAATATCCCGGAGGTGGCAGCATATCTCTCATTGCGCATTGAGAGGCTCGTCAAGAGTTCTAGCAGCGATACTAGCCAGATCCTCGCAGATGAGCTTGCCGAACCGACAACTGCAAGCGAAATTATCTTGAGATGCATCCTTAAACTGCAAGTTGCTCCGGGCATAGTTGAAGTTGAAAGCGCACAAGCTGAGGATGTGGTAATCAACGACATCTGCGACACGGAAGCGGGAGAGAGCGAAGAACCACCGGCTCAAGCATCAACAACTGTGGAAAGTAGCGGCTTTGCAGCTGTCGGCATCGACAAGGCAGCGGCTGAAGAGCCACGGGCTGATGAGGCATACGTTGAAGAAGCTCTGCTTCAAGCAGCCATGCCAATTGAAGAACCCGTACCAACTGAAGAACCGGTACCGATCGAGGAACCAGTGCCAATTGAAAGGAGGATACCAGTTGAGTCACCAGTACCAATCGAATCACCAGTACCGATTGAATCGCCAGTGCCAATTGAATCACCAGTGCCATTCGAAGGACCGCTACCAATGGACAGATCAATACCATTCGTAGACCCGATACCAATGGACGAACCGGGACCCATTGAATCACCAGTACCAATCGATGAAGGTAAACTAATATCTTAGAATACAATCATAACGATCCCGCAGAGAAACTTGCTGACGGTGTTGCCTCAGAATATGCCAGGCGATATTTATCTCGGGCCACCGAACCAGTCCAAAACGGGTCTATTCACGTTTCGCCATGGAACCATCCAAAACCATCGATAAGGAATAAGAAGAAGGCCAAAAAGCAACGTCTCTCGAAGCCTGTAATGGGGATACCTACTGAACCTGCTCCTGATGACCCTCCATCTGATGAGCCTGTCTACTAAGAGTACTGCGTGTTCAATGCGCTCCTCTAACAACATCTTAATTCTAGGCCTCTATCACAGCTGCCTTGGCGGAATAAATGTTATTTCCCTCGATTCAAGATGCGTACATTCGTAATTTATATAATCAGCTAGGAACAGTAGAAATGGCCATCTGCAACTGACTAATCATGTCCCCGTCCGATTAATAATACGAATGAGTGTGGATTTGATCTCGAGAGGAACGATGGCACGATTTGTACGATTCATCAACAGATCTCATCACATCTAAAAAAACTCATTTCATGGACGGACATAATCCTGCTCGCAGACGCAAAGGTGGGGGATAATTATCTGATAAGACTCACAAGGCTCTCCTCACTGAAAAATATGTGGATCGATAGCTTGCGATTTCTGCGTTTCGCGGAAGATCAGATGCGATTCACTCAAGCCCGTATGCACAAATTGCCATATCTACGGCGCCGAGTGTCGGATGACCATCACAACCAAAGCGGGAAGAAGAAGGGCTCCGGATAGTCATCACCATAGCCAGTATCCTGCCACGGTGCCAGCAGAGTCTCCATCACACACGTAGGCCGCCACTCCGCCTTCTGGCCAGCCGGGAAACATGATATTCTAGACTTCTAACACACCGTAACTAGGGAGGTATCATTGGAATCTCGGCTCTCTAACATAGAGTCGCAGCTGGCCCGACTTGTAGCCAATTCTGAGGCAGCACATGCCACGCTGCAGCAAGATGTTGCCCCAGTTTCATCCGATCATCATGCAAGGTTCAGTGATCTGCCGGAGGTAACCTCATACCAATCGCCAGACATGTGGCATGAAAGCTCTAGTTTGCCATGCATGAGTCTAGCCAAGAAGATCAGTGCCAATTCGGGGATGTCAACTACAACATGTGGACACTTAAATCTCCCGCCCTTAACTGAACTCCTTCCCATAGTGGACAAGTATTTCAATGACTACAACCGATACACTCCGTTATTCGACCAGCCGAACTTTATGCGCATGATTCTGGAAATATATTCATCCTCTCACCCGCGGGAAATAGTTCCATGGGCGGCACTCAACTTGGTCCTTGCGATCAGTTATCGACTGTTGGAGGACAGATCCTTGGACGACGCGGCACTAGCACAAAGTATTCGGATTGTCCAGTCAGCAACAACTGATCTGATGGCATGGGACAGGGACCTTCTAGGATTGCAAGTTTTGTTGGGCATGGTCATACTCTTCCAGGGGGCAACCAGTCCTCAGTTGGCAATTGTTCTTATCGGAAGCTCCATACGGCTCATTCAAAGTATGGGTTTACCTTCACAGAAAAGCTTTGAAGGGCTTCCGCCTAGTGCTGCTCTACAAAAGCGGCGAATATTTTGGATTGCGTATATTCTTGACAAGGTCAGCTACCTGGTTCCATAGACGCTTCTCAGCCTAAAACTGCATACTAACAATTCGTCGCTAGGATTTGGCACTTCGAGCGAAAGCACCATATACACAGATCGATGCAGAGATGGATCTCGAATTTCCCGAAGATAGCGAGGATGAGCTAGGTATAGTAACATCCAAGATAGATGGACTTCGATTCAACTATCTCCGTGCTCGTGTGGAGCTTGCCCATATTCAAGGAAAGATCCACGATCTCTTGTATAGCAAGCGAGCCCGTAAGCTGTCAGAGGATCAGAAATTACACAGCATTTCGCGCATAGATGATATGCTCCGAACATGGCGAGAGTCAATTCCCGATGGCCTGCTAACTGCTGATGGCTTGCGCCGACGGCTGAACGATGGAGCTATCCAGCTAATGACAAACTTGCTCAACCGGCACCTGGAATGCATCTTTAGGCTTCATTCAATGTACTCCTTTGACCTAGCATGGCTTAACAGGGTCAAATGCTACTTGTCACCCTGCGTCATCGAGCTCCGAGACGACATGGATGGCGAAGTGGTGCATTGTAACCTCGTGCCCCTCCCGATAGAATGGGAAGAGTGCGTGAAGTACTGCCGACTTTGTCTAGAATTACTGGCCATGGGGGGAGAGACAGAGCATGCCATGCGGTACGTATCCTTACGACCAATTTGTCGCCTGATTACTGACCGATGAAATTTACCAGGATTCATACTTGTTGTGAGCTATCGGCTCTGATAGTGCTGCTGGTTAACATCATCGAGAATCCAGATCATGATTTCCTTTCTGTTGATCAGAATTTGATTGATCGAACACGAGAGTTGTTTGAAAAGCTGAGCGAGGGCTCATCAGAGAACAAATTCTTTCTCCTGCAACTTGCACAAGATCTAGATAGACGGGCAAAGGGGCAAGTCAATCGGGCTTTGCAAGCGAACGATTTGTGGTTTCTAGAAGACATAGGGGATAGCTAGATTTAAATAGAGCTTCCGCAGTAGTAAATACTTTTCGACAACCAATTTGACCGAGCGTGTGCCCTCCGACGTATCTCCTTTCTCCTTGCTCTTGGTCATCATGAAAACAAGGAGTTGCATTGCTGCCACAACACGGACCAAGCGAAAACGGAGACGGAGACGGAGACGGAATTCCACGGAGCGGGTCCAACACAAGCATGTCGTCGGAAGAGAGCACCCTAGGTCCAGTAGTGAACGAGTGCTCGCGTATTATATTTATGATATTAGAAATCTGATTATCAATTCTCTTCGTTAGATAACTCATATGAGAACTTCAGAAGAAGAATAAATAGGTTTACATCTGACCTGGGTTCGTGGGCTCGAATTCCTGAGTCCCGCCACAAGAAGGCATTCTTAGCAAATCTGATTATATTGTCGATACTATGACAAAGATACTCCTGTAATCAACGATTTTCACGGATTTCTTCTCTTTTGCTAGAGCTAACTGTCAGATACCTAGAACCGGTGCCTCGGGCTATATTGGCGGCGACCTTCTTTATCTCATTGCCAAGCGGCACCCTGAATACGGAGTGACAGCGCTCGTCCGGAATGCCGCCCAGATTGAACCGATCAAGCAAGTTTCAGACAATGGACAAGTCGTTCAAGGCACTCTGGATGACGAGGACATTCTTGAAAGAGAGGCCAGTGAAGCGGATATCGTCCTGAGTAAGTGCTGCTAAACCGTCGTACGAATCATCACCGCTGACTTTCGGGGCAGACTTGGCTTCGTCAAGCCATGTGAAGAGCGTGCAAGCAATTCATCATGGTCTCCTAAGTAAACTTGACCGTGGCGAAAAGCCCCCGTATTGGATTCAAATGTCGGGTGGCGCTGCAGTAGTTTCCAATGAGGTAGCAGACCCAAACTGGGAACCGGGCACTGGAAGCGACATCATTTGGGATGATCTGGATGACATTGCCTCAATAAAATCCATCATCAAAAGCAATCCCACTCGGGTTGTTGACAACTACATGATGTCCGTTGCCCAAAGTTCCAGCTACATTCAAACAGCAGTGGTCTACCCGCCCGTCATCTATGGGTTAGGCCGGGGACCAGTCAATCAGAGAAGCGTCCAGATCCCTGATCTTGTGGAGGCAAGCCTCAAGAGGCGTCGAGCATTCAGACTTGGCCCTGGTCTAAACCGATGGGGAAATATTCATATTCGGGATCTCAGTGAGATGATCCTTCGACTTATTGAAAAGGCCGTAGAAGGGAATCAGGATACTAATGTGTGGGGCAAAGACGGAATATATCTCACTGGAGTCGGAGAGCTGGTATGTCTCTTTATTCTCCCTCAGATTTGACAAGCAAATAATGGCTCGACAGCTAACATAAAACTTATCTGTGGACCTTTATTGACATATCCAGACGGATTGCGGCAGCCGCCTTTGACCTTGAGCTTCTTCCTGATACATCAATTGAAGTTCTGGAAGGGGATCAGTTTAACCAACTTCTAAGCCATCACGCGGGTTTCCCTGGTATAGTTTTGTACGGAACTAACTCCCGAGGGGGCCCAAACAGAGCCCGGAAATATCTAGATTGGGTTCCAACACATCATAGCTTAGCACAAGACATTGTTGAAAGCGTGACCCGAGAGGGTGTACGACTGGGACTGGTCGAAGCAGACTCTTAGGACTACATATCTAGCAGGTGGTAGCACAATCCCTAAATTTATGGACAAGGGAAGTTTCGAAAGGACATACTGCTTTCCAGATAACTTACTGGCGCGTCTATCTAGAAACAGGAGTCTCGCCAAGGGACGAGCTATGGTACCTTTCCCTGCTCCAACATTGACTACAGATGTGATTGCAGTCTTCCATCAGGAGATTAGGGATGAACACCAATTTGAGTATTCCAGACCTCGGACTCGGCCGGATTGTTTTATTGATGTCTGGTGGAGACGTTTATCCTATCCTTGTTCTTAGTGGGTTAAGCCGATCCCTGTTGACTTACTTCGCAAACTCTAAGGGGACTGCACAGCCAATTGCTCAATGTATCATGCCGGGCTTCTAAACTGATCCCTGTTTTATTTCCTTGGAGGATCTCAACACTCCACTAAATTCCCTTGAGAAGTGATAAATATACTACACGCCTGAAACAAACCTGTAACGCCCAGTAATGCCTGTTTTGGACAAACTTGCTTAAACTTGCTCAACTCACATTACCCGCCCTCCTGGAAAGAAAGGAACATAACTGATAGATTTGGCTTAGGAATTGACTCCGTGTTTCCTAATTGGACAAGGTCACCAGGATGGTGATCTCGGGATCTCGGATACAATGGCCTGTCGTCTGTTTGGAATATCGTTTCATTGAAAATTAGACTGCTAAGATATAGCCGATCTGGGGGGTTCTATAATCTAGCCGAGTGATTTTTAGTATTAAAGTCCTTTGTAGTGACGAGTGAGGCTTTCCATACGCCTTTCCTATCCTCATGTTGTAGTGTTGTCTTACAACAACATTATAGATAGTTCATGATGCTCTCTTGCAATCGCCTTTCACTTCTTGCGATCAACGCCCTGAGCCTAGCCGTCGTCGCACGCTGTGCCTCCTTCAACTGCTCGTCTTTCGGGCAGTCAGTGGAGCTATCCTCATACAATGCTACTATCCTAAATTCCACCCACTATGCCGCCGGCGAACTGAATGAATCGGGGACTGTGAATGCAGTCCCCTTTTGCGAAGTTTATGCTTCCGTCGGTTATGGCACGAACGATACCATTATCTTCGCACTCTGGCTGCCCGATGAGCAGTACTCCTCGCGGTTTATGGCAGTTGGCAACGGTGGCCAGGGAGGAGTCATCGCCTATACCGACATGATGGAAGAGTTGAACAGCGGGCTGGGCTTCGCTGTAGCCGGTGGTAATGCAGGCCACTTAGCCTCTGACAACGACGCCGGTACTGGCGATGGCCTCGGCGCGCCTGGCGTCTATCAGCCGTTCCTCCACGACGAGGACCAGGTGAAAGCATGGCTCCATAACGCCATTAGCCTAATCACACCGCCTGCGAAGGAGCTGATCAAAATCTCTTACGGGGCTCAGCCAGAGCATTCCTACTACAGGGGCTGCTCCGCCGGCGGTGCGCAGGGATTCTCGCTCGCCGAATTCCACCCCGACCTCTTTGACGGAGTTATTGCAGGGTGCCCTGCAAACTGGTTTACGCGGCTTATACTGGGCTTCCTCTGGAACTCTCAACAAGCAAGTGTAGGTTTACCCGTCTGATTCCTCCTGGTGTGTTGCTTACTCAATTCATATTCGCAGACCAACGCAACGTTTCTCTCCGAATCTGTTTTGGAGTTTATCCAAGCGAGCGTGATCCGCGAATGCGACCTCATCGACGGCGTAGCAGATAACCTTGTCGAAAACCCGCTCGCCTGCCCCTTCAACATCTCCTCTTTAGCCTGTACAGACAGTTCTTCTGCCGAGAACGCTACGTGTCTCACGCCTGACCAGCTCTCCGCCGTGAAAGCGATATACCAAGGCCCTGTGCATTCGGACGATCCCAGCAAGGCTCTCTGGCCCGGTGTCTCCCTCGGGTCAGAGGCTGGCTGGTCGCTCCCAATAGTACAAGGTCTCCTCTCCTATGTATTCGCCGTGCCAATTCTGCAAAACTTGGTATATGACGACCTAAACTATGACCCAGCGACATTCAACTGGGGATCCGACGTGGATGTCTTGGAAGAACGAGCAGGCGGGCTAATCAATTCGATCAAAACAGATCTCTCATCCTTTCGCGACCGTGGCGGGAAGATGATCGTGTTTGCCGGCTGGGCGGACCCGAACATTGCCCCAGAGTGGTCAATCCAGCATGTTGAAGCCATCACGCAGGATACCATCGGGCCCGGAACTACCATAGCGGAGAACGACTTTGTCAAGCTCGTCATGGTGCCAGGGGGCGGGCACTGTGGCGCAAACATAGCCAAGTATCCCTACGTGCCCGCGCACTATGGGTTCTCTTCCGCAATGGTGGATTGGATAGAAAAGGGACAAGAGCCAGTTGAAGGGATCAAGAGCTGGGGTCCGACGAATGGAGATGAGAGGACCAGGAAGCTCTGTACATGGCCCCAGGGTGCGAAGCTGAAAGAGGGGGGAGATGTAGATGACTGGGAGAGCTATACGTGTGGATAGTTTGTGTATATTCATGCTGTAGGATCTATATACTCTATATGGTAAGAGGAAAACAAAAGTTGGGAAGTTACATTGCGACATGTACGGTGTGCGATACAGAAGTGATAAGTAAAACCCTGGTGTTCAAATATTTGAACCAAGTCCCCATTACTCGTCCAAGATCTTCCCGTGGCCAAAAGAAGAGCCACAGGCGGTTGCCAAGAAACTATCATCTGGCCATGGTTAGGGTTTGCTGCCAAGTAGTTGGGCGGCGTATGACACAATATTGAAGAAGCTTATGTCTTGAGAGCCGCCCAGGTAGCCGAGTTGAGTAGTAGCGCGCTCGTGATATGGTGAGAGGCATACATTGCCCTTTAACACCATCCGAGCCGCCCTTTGACTCATATGCGGCATTTGAGTCTGCTGAGTGGAGCGAGGTTATTCCGTCAACGCGGATCACCTTTTGCATCCCTGAGCCAGATGGTGATGCGACCGGAGCGCTTGCATGTTGGCGTGGTGGTGTGGGGGTCGATGGCATTTCTCAGCGCAAGTTCCCCGTGGAGGAAAGGAGCAGTGTTTAAAAACTGCCTTTTTAGAGTCGGGCTCTCGTTCTCATTTATCGGTTGATGACTCCGCCTGAAGTATTGCTTGGGGTATAGGCTGGAGGAGGCTCCTGCACCACGGGAAATGAATTGGTCGGTTGTACTGTCGCCATTGGCGGTGCCGACGGCTGTGTTGTAGCAGGAGGCAGATATGCTGGCGGTGCAGCTGCCCTTCGTCGCTTGGCGCAACAGCACGAGGCGATGATGATGAAGAGGGCGAAACCAATGACCAGCACAATACCGATGATGGCCCAAGTAGGGATGGGTGTCGTGCGGCCATGGCTGTTTGGTCCGATAGCACGCGTGGAGTGCTCGTGGACTGCATCTTCGTCCGAGGGCACAAGGGGAAGGGCGTTTGCCGTAGCTGCTAAACCGCAGACCAAGCTGAAGAGGGTGGGGAGATGGTTTGAGAAGTTCATGTTGACGGCTTCGATGAATGGCTGGATCGTGTTCGATTACTAGACAGCAGAATATAGCGAGGCCCACTCACCCTTCTTATAACCATCTCTTTCTCTGGCATCGTTCTATGATCGTTCTATGCAAGGGCAGCAAGGCAAATTGCCAATGACATCAGCCTTGGCGATGGGAAGGCTGAGCCACAACATTGCCCGGCTCAGGGGGGCTTCCCCTGCCAAAATTTGGAAGACGTTGGGCCGTGCTCGCAAATCCACCAATCTCAATTGCGAACCAAGACGTGCCAAGATCTGCCAGCCTCAGAAACTGCCAATCTGGTCATATGATAATCCGCCTCGGGCGAGAGAGAATCAAGACCTGGCCGGCTTTTGGATTTCGCCGTCATCTCGCGCCGCGACTGCCAAGCATTCGCTCACCCATTCTGCACGCCAATCCTGGGTCATCTGATCATTTTATGAGGCCAAAGTAAATACCATCACCGGGGCAGACTCGTCTTGATCAATTATTCCACTGTTCCGGGCCGCCTCGCAGCCGTATTTTGCTCATTTCGCGGACCGGCGTGTTGGCTCAACCTGACCATTTCGCATTACCGCCGCGAAGGGAGCCGTACATCATTACACACAAAGTACAGCTAGAGACCACTTCGCTGGCACCGGTTTTATAATCTTGCCAGATGCCGGACGTGTTTATATTTGCTCCATCATTCACACATAAGACTAATTCTATGACTATACCCTTGAGAAGGTACATTTTATAATATTAGCACTATAGCCACTTAATAGGAGTACATTTTGGGGGGATCTGATATTATTTACACAAGGACGCTGGCCTGATGTCTTCATCATAAACATCAAGTCAAATAAGGAAAGCTCTCCCACAACGAGATATCAAGGCTATCCCAATCAAGAAACATGTCCCCTGATTCCAGAGGTGTGTTGTTCCCCAGAGAGCATGTGGCAAACAAGTCATTCATTTGCACGGGCTGTTGATCCTCGCTAGGTTGGGCCGCACGATTCGCATCTCTCGCCTGCCCCTCGGATTGCTGTCGTTCAAAGTTAAACAACTTTGACACATAAGCTGTCCTACTCTTTGTGGATGATTTCTCGCGGCGTTCATTAATCACATTGGAAAGCGAGGTTAGGATATCGTAGTATAAGGTCGCCTGAGAGCTCTTGGCTCCCAGGAAGTTGAGCAGTTCTCTAGCGCCATGAAACGCTGACTCGATTCCATAATCGACAACGTCCTTGGCAAAGATTTGGAAGCCGAGTACCAGACCGGCTGGGAAGATAATTGATCTGTAACCGGTCAGTCAGAGGCTATCCCAGGAATAAATTTTAGAATAGCCGCTTACATTATGGTTGCCATGTTTGCCTTCAGCAACCCAAGCTTCCTGGCTCCAGAACATGTCTGGACAATAAATATGGCAGCATCAAGACACGCAGATGCCAAATGAGAGTGTACCATTCCCCCAATCTGCGGCTGGATCAGTGTAGACACCAGTATGGGCCGAGTCACGAGGGTGACGGCAAAGTAATAGAGACAGGATACGTGGACGCGTCCAATTGCGCTCTTCTCGGCGTCGGAATCGGCGAGGTCTGTCTGTGAAGGCGAAGTGCGGAGAAATTGAGGGAGGCTCTGACTCCACTTCTCAAGTTCTTGTAGATTTTCCTCTATCATGGGAATAGAGATCTCTTTCCGATCATAGAGTTTTTCGACAATATTGCTTATTAGCGATACCATTTTGTAGGACGCAACGAGGCAGATCATTCCCCGGTCCTGGGATGAGGCAACTACGTCATCAACGAGGCCTTGTAAATCGGACTGGACTCCTGCAGTGGCAGGCGGACGGCCTAATATGGAGCTGATGGGAATGTCCATGACTCTGAGACTCATCCATACTCTCAGCCTAAGCTGTAGAATTAGTTTGACAGCCTTTGCAATAGATAGGAGGGTTGGGGAGTACCTGAGTTGGTGTTTTGAATCTTTCATGTCTGTATAGGTTTCAGGGCTATGCAACCCCAGTGACAGCGCGGCTCTTGCAGCAATTCCGAGATACATGAAAGCCGTGTTCCTGCGACACTCCCCCAGGAGATAGAAGGACATTATTAAAAATATCCTGACCATATCAATATCTGGGTCTTCAAGCATCCCAGAAAAGGCTTGGGCCTGGGCCTCGCTAAAGTACGCCAGCTCGCGATCATACGCGTCGGCTGATGGATCACACTGAAGACCAACAGCTATGATGAGCTGCACAAGCGCTCTTTTCTGAGGACTCCCTCCGCCAGAGGTCGTCAGGAGCTGTTCCATCTCTTGTGGACAGAAAGGGTCTATCAAGCCCCCGGTCTGTCAAACGCTTAGCAGACGGCATGCATACCAGAATAGATCTTAGTACTTACCACTTCATAGAAGCATTTTGCATACATGAGCTTATCCTCCATCTTCATTTCACTGGGACTGGAAACTTGAGCTCTTGTTTGCGGCGACTCCTTCTCCAGCATGGTATCGCTTTTGCCATGACGAGAAAATTGCGAGGGTCCGACTTGAGCAGATATGATGCCTCTAACGGCCTGCAGGAATGAGAGAGAGCCTCCTCCTCCTATGTATACTAGAAATAAATTCAGTATTCACGTCTTATATGATTAGATCCAAGGTGGAAACTTTGCTTCGTACCTCGCTCGCCACGCAGGTTCAGCAACATGCGAGGGGATGGCTTCATTGAAAGTAACGACAAGGCGCTAGAGTCGTCCACATCACTCATAACCTGTACCGGAGGCTCTACATTAACAGTTGTTGAAGAATTGTCGACCTCTATCGTACGAGGCTCCGAGGGTGATATTAAAGCAATTCCATCAGGCACAACAGGGACCGTCGAATGACTGAGCATGGACGTATCCTCGAAGGCGGAGAAGGCTGATGAGTCTAAAACCGCAGCACCAGTGCTGTGTCTTGTGTTTAGTGGGCTTGTCGCAAGAGGCTGCTGTCCACCGCTCGGAAGCTTCGAATTCGATAGTCCTGTCCCGATACCTACAGAATGGCGATTCCCTCGAGGACGGTGGGAGATGAAACACGAACTGCCCAGCCCGCGACGCAGGCAGTGGGTACAGGGTGCCGTGCCCGAGCATCTCTTCTTTGCCTCTCGGCAAGCATTGCAAGCCTCAGCAGCTCTTTGGCGCTGGCTCGAGAGCAACTTGGGGCGCGGCATCGCAAGATGTGCCGGGCGCCGGCGATCGGTGGTATGTCACCGCGAGATATTTCCGAGGCGAGAAATACTCGACGCGCGTGAGGCGCGCCCCACAGTCACAGATTAGAGCTTCCACTGGGAGGGCTGAGGTGCCAGGGGCGTGATAAAGGAAGCGGCGGTTAATCCCGGCAGTGTATCAGTTGTTGATGCTTTGTGAAAACGAGGTTGGCCTCACCCACACAACCCCTGCCGTTCTCGATGAGTGAAGTCTGGGGAAACCTCACGTGCATCCCCACACAGCCACCGACCCACCCAAGACTCCAAGACAAGCAGGGCTCTATTGTAGGCTCTGCTCCCTCCCTGAGAAATAAAGAGGAAACTTGCAAAGACCGAAAACAAGCTGTTCTATTATTTTCGTATATCTCATAGCTTATTTTGGCCATACTCTACCATAATTATTTCAACGACGAATGGGATAATATAATGCAAGTATCAATGTCAAATCAACTGCAGCGGTATAGGGTACATGTAGTTGCTTTGTCTGATGTTTGTGAGCCTAGCAGAGCGGCTTCCAGCAAGATTTTAAAAACATACGCATTTCAAAATAAATTAAGAGAAATTGTAATTTTCAACCCATATTCGATCGGATGAATTATGAATTACTTCAACCTTGGCTCGCTAATAATAACGAGTACTACGAGCAGGATGTTGAGCATTGGTTTGAATATTGGCAGTAATGCCGCGTTTCTTTATTGATGAGACCTCTGAGACAATACAGCAGTTGATTGAACGAGATAGGAACCATCGTACAAGTCTCAATTGGATCAATTCGAGTCTATCTTAAAGCCGTTGTTCTCGGACTAAACATATCTCTTCTTCGTCCATTCATTGGCATCCTCTTTCACTACCGTGGTATAACATGATACGTCGCCTAACTTAGGCACCAAATACCTTGAGTTTTTCACTCAGGGGTTTGAAAGTCTTCTCACCAGGCTCACCGGCACGTCCACCAAAGACAAGTTGAGCTTTGAGCCGCCAGGTGGCAGGAAGGTTCCACGTCTTGGCGATCTCCTCATTGACGAGGTTGTAATGCTGGAGGTTGGCACCAAGGCCTTTGGCCTCTAGAGCTGTCCAGGCAGAATGTTGCAACATACCACCTGACTCGGCAGCCCAGATTGGGAACTCGTCTGCGTATGCAGGAATGTTGCTGGCAAATTCCTGAACTACTGCTTCATCTACGAAAAAGAGGACCTAGTTGGTTAGTATGTTAGCCAACATACATACACTGCGATAGCTTTTATGGGATATTGCGGGTATAGTAGACTCGAACTTACTGATCCTGCAGCAGCCTTGAACGTGGCAATGCGGCCACTCGTTGACTCCCACTGATCCTCAGCTACGACGTTCTTCAGAGTGCGGCTGACGGTATCCCAGAACCTGCCGTGCTCCTGGTCGAAGAGGACCACGACACGATTGGACTGAGAGTTGAAGGCGCTTGGCACATCTTGGACCAAGTCCTGGACGATTTCAACAACCGTTTCTTTCCCAAATGGGAGTGCGTCGCTCAGAGCATAGTATGTGCGGCGAGCTTTAACGAAGTCCAGGAATGGTGTGGATGCAGATGTTGGGCCGCCCGCATAGTATTGGCCGGCCAGGAAGAAGATGGAGCAGAGCAGACCGGTTATGCTCAGCCAAAATGTTGATCCTTGCTTAGCAGTGCTCATTTTGTTGTTATTATTGAGGGATGAAGATGAATGTCTATGTGTTCCGGATTGCGGAGCTGGGAAGAAAGGAAGGGTAGAGGAGGCGAGTTATACAGAATCTCACCGGTATTTGAAGGATCATCCCATGTGGCGCCATCTTGTTGCAGGATTAGTAATTTTCCTAAAAACGGGCCGTAAAATAGTTGAGACAAGTTTATTATACGACATTTGGCTCTGGGAATTTTGCAGCGGGTGGTTGCCTCAAACCAAACCTATATGGTTGCTTACAAATACAAGCTATAGGACACATATGCTGATCTGCCTCTAGATGCCGCTTCCCGATTTTTGTTATTGGAAAATATACCGACTCTCATCAAAGATCAGTAAAACTGAATTCAGTACACGTGTACGAAAGTAGGTAATAATCATGCCACAGCTCATCAACTCTTATATCCGTACATCCGGAACCTAATGACACCGGCTTGTCTCGGCACTCCTAAAACTACGGACCCATAGCTCGCTTCAGTATTCAATATATTGATGGATTTTCATTATGAACTACCGTCAATTATCACGTTTGACCTTGGCAAACAAGCCTGGATCAAAATTCATAGGTTGGAGCGGTTCGAATGTCTGTACTAGCGCCAAAGAAAGTCGACTCAAGCCCAACTTGTTGAAGGACATTGCTGAAGATGGGGCACAGAGAGGCGGGGACAATAAAAAGAGTAGTCACAGTGGTGGATGAGGTTTATTGAAACTGGAGGGAAAGTGAAATAGTTTGGAGTGGAGGCCAGATAGCCTTGTAGTGTATATGTGAAAGCTGGCTGGGAGATGCATTGAGATGGGCTGTTGCGGATTGGAAGATCGATGGTAATTGGACGAGGTATGAGGCGTTAAATGACAGACTCAAGAATGTATTATTTCAGATGTATTCTTGAGACTGGGTAAATTTACTACTGATAAGAATAGCCCAACACCCTTAATTATAACTGCAGAAGGAGAAAACTTGGATATTGTTAAGAGACTTATCAATAAAGGAGCCAGCATGGAGGCTACTGATAAATAGGTATGGCTATACAACCCTCCCGTTAGCAGCAACAGCATTATATTTTTCAACAAACCAGAACCAGCTATACCACAACATATTGGTAGTGAAGCTAACCTTGAGGCAAGAAGCATGGGCGGACACGCTGCCATTGTCAGCAATAAAAGGTACCACTGACCAGGTAACATTCATACGAAAATTGCTTCAACATAGTCGATAGGAATAAAGTCCCGTCCTAATTAAACATATGATGACTCTATTCTTTCACTTCACTTTGGAGTATTAATAGGATATGGCGTTAGGATTGAGTTGTCTGCTATTTCATAATTTAAGATCGAGAGATATAGATGTGCACGCCCCACGCCCTTAGGAGGTGCTGAACAGCAACCTAACCTGGTCACTTGCAGTGAACTCGGCCACATACAGCAAATCCGGCCAGGCAGCAAATCCAGCCAGATCATATTAATCTCCTTTTTGCTAAAGGCAGCAGCTGGATAGTAACCACCGTGCAAGAAAACAGACTCCACTAGCACCTTTACATTACCCCTATAATCGAAATCATCATCTAGTCCGATTTGCTGTGTGGTCGAGTTTGCTTTATGTGGATTTACTGTTCAACCGCCTGAAGGTCGGGGAGTTTACAAGCCCCCGGAAAAGGTGGGGCGGACCCAAGTAACAGCGTCACAATGCTGGTCCCGATACTCGCCCAACCAATCCCTCACACATGTTCCGTTCATGGTCCTGGAAAACCGTGGATCATTAGGCACTAGGGGAGATAGGAAAAGGTCTGGATAGTTGCGAATCTCCCCGTAGTACCTGAGCTGGTGGTGTCGTGTGGGTCTAGAAGCCGCTGGCGGTACGTACCCGCAAGCGCATAGCCGACCGGCGGTGCACTATCCGACACAGCCGAGCGCTTTCCGGTGCGTGCTTCCATGTCTTGATGTAAATGCAAGTCTGGGGCAACAGTTAATCTCATCACAATAGAAACCATAGTCGTTTAATTGCAGGAAGTTGTTATTTGTTTATCTTGACGTGCATTTGTAGTGGAGTACGGCGGCTTGCAGACTTAAGTTCTGGCATCAATGTAGCGAAATTCTAATCGCATTCTGTATAAGTTGAACAAATTTATTAACTATCTATCAATCTCCGTAAAAACCAATTCGTTCAAAGCATAGGTTTCAGGTCATCTGCTACGGTAAAGGGAGCCTCGGTCTTAGCCTTGATATCATCCACAGTCACACCATCCGCAATTTCGATGAGGGTCAGCCCATGAGCAAAGTCCACATCAAAGACGGCCTACAAACAATCAGTCAGTCACCGGAATGAAAAGACAAGCTTGGTTTCCAGGAGCGTAGAATTCTTGACTTACAAGCTCAGTAATGATTCTCGAAACGCATGCCTTCCCGGTAAGAGGGAACGCGCATTGGTTCAAGATCTTTGGGTTGCCCTTTTTATCCGTGTGCTCCATGGTGACCACAACCTTCGTCTTGGATGGGTTACTTACCAAATCCATTGCACCCCCAAAGCCCTTGACCTTTCCAGGGAGCATCCAGTTGGCTAGATCCCCCCGGGCACTGACTTGCATCGCACCGAGGATGGTGAGGTCAATCCTGCCGCTTCTGATCATGCCAAAGCTCTCCTCGGAGCCAAAGACAGATGCACCGGGCTTCAATGTGACGGTTTCCTTGCCCGCGTTGATCAGGTCGGCGTCTTCTTGTCCACGGCGAGGATAGGGTCCAAGTCCCAGAATCCCATTTTCACTCTGAAGCTGGACTTCGACCTCGGGTCCGACGAAGCTGGGCGCGAGCATGGGCATGCCGATTCCTAGATTGGCATACATGCCATTCTTGAACTCCTTGGCTGCGCGGCGAACGATGCGCTCTCGCTTTGCTGCAGTCTCACCAGTCCCCAGGGCGCTCTTCGCTTTTGAGTTGGGGTCGTTGGGATCCTGCGCGAATGTGTACTTCTCAATGCCCTTCTCTGCCGTGCTCTTGATGACGCGCTTGACGTAGATACCCGGGAGATGGACCGCTTCCGGTGGAATCTCTCCCGGCTCGACGATTTCCTCCGCCTCCACGATGGTCATCTTAGCATTACGGCCCATAGCACCGTTGAAGTTCTGGGCAGCGAGGCGGAACTGGCAATTACCGAGCTTGTCGGCGCGGTATGCCTTGACGAAGGCGTATTCTCCCGCGATGCTGTGTTCCAGCAGGTAGGACTTTCCATTGAACACCTTGACGTCCTTTGGCGGGTTGTAGAGTTCAGGCGTGCCGTCGGGCTTGTGTCGCACGGGTAGCTCGCCGGTTTGCACGACGGTCCCGTAGGCAGCGGGGGTGTAAAATGCCGGGATACCTTTGCCTCCAGCGGCGCACCTCTCTGCAAGCGTTCCTTGGGGCGTGAGCTCCAGCTCGACCTGTCCATTCAGATACATGCTCTCGAAGGTCTTATTCTCTCCAATATATGAGGCGATCATTTTTTTGATCTGCCCGGATTTGAGGAGCTTGCCCAGACCGCTGTTATCGGTACCCGCATTGTTCGAGGCGGCTGTGATTCCCTTGATCCCCTTCTTGGCGACCTCGTTGATGAGCGTGTCTGGCACACCGCAGAGGCCGAACCCACCACAGAGGAGAGTGCTGTCGCCCTTCATATCTTTCAGGGCCTCGGCTGCAGAGGGGTAGACCTTGTTGATCTCTGCCCGCCTGGCTGTGGCCGAGAAGGTCCTGACCAGCAGGAGCGCAGGCTGGATGAGTTAGCCATACGGATATCATTGAAACTGGCCAATGGTTTCTCCAAATTGTATATTTTGAACTTACATTGGAGCCATATTTGCAAGAGGCTTTCAAGGCCCTCGGCCAGAGCATTCGGGGAGCCATTGTGTGCAGGAAACGGAAGAGAGACGTTGAAGGGATGGAGATGGACTACCTCAATGATCAAGGCCGCAACACATACAGTAGGGGCAGACAGCAAACACGAACAGCAGATGATTGATAAGAATCTCGGCATCACTCGCTCACCGTTCCTACATCGGAGACAGGACTCGCAATCGGCCCCTGCATCACAAGCAGCATCCGGCTGGTGGAGCGCTGCTTCCGGCGGGCGACTGAGGCATGAATCAGGGCTCGGTTCGCTGCGAGGTGCCTCTTCCGACAGCGAGGCCGGGCGGTCCGCTGATTGATTGGTCCAGCGGTCTGCGAGAATTGCCTAGTTCGCGCCGAGGCTCAGCCATTATTAGGCGTCCAAATTATTATTACGACCTACCGGTACCGGATTGTTGCCGCGCTGAGAGTCCGAGAGACGAAAACAAGAATCAAGAATCAAAAGCCTTGTTGCCAAGTTCGGCTCGGGAGAGGGGTGATCCATCCATACACACTTCGCTTCCCCACAGTTACATCCCGATGCTCGGCAGGGCATCGATTGATTTCACTCGCCTCTCTCCGATCCATTGTTACAATTGTCGTTCCTAGATTCCATTTCGACACGTTGTACCTGAGGAAAGAAAATGTCTCTACCGCGCGGACTCTCATCGGTGGTGAAGAAGGCGGCGACCGACACCGTGATTGTGTCTTCGCTGCGCACGCCAGTCGCACGAGCCAAGGGCAAGTTCAAGGATGCATTCCCGGAAGAGCTCCTCTCCGTCGTTCTTCGCGCAACACTTGACAAGACCCCTCAGCTTGACGCGGCCAAGATCGAAGATGTTGCAGTCGGCGTTGTCTTGTCGGAGCTGGGTGGCTCAAAGGCAGCTAGAATGGCGATGAATCACGTCGGTTACCCCAACACTACGTCGCTTTACACTGTCAACAGGGCATGCTCATCGTCACTACAAGCAATTGCGTTGGTGGCAGCCCAGGTCAAGACTGGCGCCATCTCTGTGGGTATTGGAGCTGGTATGGAGAGCATGTCACGAAACTACGGTAGCAGGGCCATTCCTGTTGATTTATGGCCTGAATTGAAGGACTCACCAGTTAAGGACGCAAGGGACTGCATCATGGCTATGGGGTTGACATCGGAAAACGTGGCATCCAGATACGGCGTTTCTCGAGATGACCAGGATGCGCTGGCCCTCCAGAGTCACATCAATGCTGCCAGAGCGAGGGAAGCAGGCGCATTCGATGCCGAGATCGTCCCTGTGACAACTCGGTTCCAGGAGGTGGACAAGAAGACGGGAGAGAAGATTGGCGAGCAGCAGATAATCACCGTCACCCAAGACGACGGAATCCGGGCCAACATCAGCCCAGAGGCTCTCGCAAAGCTCAAGCCAGCCTTTAAGACAGACGGAACTAGCACAGCAGGCAACTCGTCGCAAGTCTCGGATGGAGCCGCCGCCACCCTGCTGATGAAGAGAAGCACAGCCACAGAGTTGGGACTGCCCATCCTCGGCAAGTTTGTGTCGGCCACGACGGTGGGGTGTGCCCCAGACGAGATGGGCATCGGGCCTGCGCTGGCCATTCCCAAGCTCTTAGAGCAGCATGGACTGGAGGCCAAGGACGTGGATCGATGGGAGATCAACGAGGCGTTTGCCAGCCAGGCGGTATACTGCGTACGCGCTTTGGGCTTGGAGAAGGCACTGGAGGATGGCAAGGTCAATCCCGACGGAGGAGCGATTGCTCTGGGCCACCCGCTTGGCGCGACGGGAGCAAGAATGACGAGTACTCTGATTCACGGCCTTGGGCGAACAGGTGGTGAGGTCGGTGTGGTGAGCATGTGTGTCGGTACAGGGATGGGCATGGCTGGGCTGTTTGTGCGAGAGTGACGGATGGTTGCAGCAAGTATCTGTGCCCAGTTTGTAATTTCCAGCGAAACAGATCGGAATACATGTTTGATGATTCCCAATAGCTACCTAATGTCGCATGATGTTGGTGAACAACCGAGTTTCAAGCAGAGCCTGACAAGCAGAAGCGCGCGGCCTAATTTAGCGACTGGTGGTGGGGTCAGGAGCTGCGGCAGGCGCGTTGGACCTCCACCAGGTTTTCTCCAGGAACAAGGCCCAGTCACGATGTGAACACCGCCACTTCATGTCAAGGGAGTCTGCCAAGCCGGCGGCAGATTCGCCGGGTCCACGCTTCTTCTTTTGGTTTGTCAGGGTCTGGTTGCTCTTTTTATAAACTTTAATTCTTTGTTTTCTAGACCTTTGCTTGTCAAGGGTACCGGTCGAGATCCTTCTTTAAAGCAGACCGTGAAGCAGCTACGCGCCCACCCATTGTGCCGCCCACCCATTGTGCCGCCCACCCATTGTGCCCTCGCGCCCAGCTTCTTCTTCTAGGTACTCTACGATGCCCTTCATACCAAATACCCCCGAGTCCTCGTTCGACCGCTCAGACTCCCTCGATCCCAACGCGACATGCCGCGGCATAACCACATCTGGCAGACCATGCCGACGAGCGATCCCAAACGCCCAACCTAGCCCATCACGGCATGGCAAGCGACGGCCCCAGACCCCGGACCTTCGCGACGAGAACGTATACTACTAGCAGCACAAGGAGCAGGCAAGCATGTCGGCGCACTCGAGTCCTGGTCCGCGTGGAACTGCTACACCCATCCTCCAACACCAGCGCACGAGCTTGGACACGCTCGCTGACCGCCTCGGACTGATCGACTTGCAAGATAAGAAGAAGCTCAAGTCGCGCAAGAGCCAACGGCAGGATTCTGGCCACCGACCTTCGAAGCCCCAGAAGCAGAAGGCCTCGTTTTGTTGCTGCTTTGGTACCGTCGAGGAGCCCTCCAAGCCTGCTGTTCCCGTCCGGCCGCAGCCTCGACCGGTCCAAAAGCACTCAGCCTCTGTCCCCTCTGCACAGAAGAAATCCAAGAGCTCCCGCAAGTCGGGGGCATCCTTCGTCGGTCAAGCGAAGGACCTTATATCCGATGATCTCGATCCCACGACCGCCTCTGCGCTCATGACAGAGCTTGCCCGCCCGTACGTCGACTCCGAGGAAGCTGGCTACATCTACATGTTCTGGCTCACACCCACCTCTTCGTCGAGGTCCATGGCAGTCCCCGGAGACGCAGCCCGTGACCTGCTCGCTCCCCCGTCCCCGACACCTCGATCTCGACGAGCCAGCGACGTGGTATACTCGTACGCGGACAAGAACGAATCCAAGGCAGGTCCTGGCGCAGGCGGGAAGCCCATGGTGCTCAAGATAGGCCGGGCGGCCAACGTTCACCGCCGGATGGTCCAGTGGCAGCGGCAGTGCGGCCGCGACGTCGAGGTGCTGCGGTACTACCCGTACTCGCCCTCAGCCTCAGGCAGCGTAACGTCGCCGCGCCCCACGCCGCACGCGCACCGGGTCGAACGTCTCATCCACATCGAGCTGGCGGGGATGGGGCTGCGAGCTGATCTAGGGGTGTGTGATGCGTGTGGGCGTGAGCACCGCGAGTGGTTCCAGGTGGAGGCGACACGCGCCGCGGTCAGGAAGGTGGACGGCATCATTCGGAAGTTTGTGGAATGGGATGAACGAAACGTATAACGACTGATACGAATGTATGATGTGACATGATATAGACAGACATTGTTACTTGTTTCAACGCCATAGAGAACAAGCGATGTGAGGCGTAGGGTGTCAAAGGAAAAGTACCTTGCCCCTGAACCAGATTGCGATTGTGCGGTGCCACTTGCCACGCCTTGTTGTCACATTGTGAGATGGGGTTTTTCGCAAGAACCGACATTAGATGAGACCTTGACGACAGAGATTGTAGCTTTTCAGCTGGCTTATTTATTTATTATTCATGTTCCAAAGACCAAGGCCTCGAGCATCCAGTGCCTGACGGGCTTCTTGGTACCTTAGCAGGTGTCTTCCCCATTCTTCCCCACGTGCTACCTTTCCCTTGTCTGTAGGAAAACCCGAGCTATCGATCAAGTTTCATCCCTGGACAACAAGAGCTGGCTGGCCCATAGGCAGGGCTCAGCACACGGGGCGGTTTTAGCATCGAACTCGACCATTTTGCCGAGCTGGGCGCCGTGGAGGGCGGTGTCGCTCACTGCCTTTTAATAAAAATACGGTGAGCTATAGTAATCATAACCAGAACAGATATCTGTCCTGAACCACAGTGACTCGGGTCACGCGTCGCTGGATAGTATTATATCGCACAGAGCACACGTCACATGCATGCCGTGACAGAACCCCCAACTCAAAGGGTTGGCTGCACCGGCCTCATAAAGTTGAAGCCGACGATGCCCTCGGCGACGATGTTGTCCCGGTCCAGGCTGGAGCCCGAGCACAGGGAGACGCGCCTGCCGATGATGCCGTCGCTGCCCACGGCGAGGGAGAGCGGGCTCTCCAGCGCGAGCTCGTAGTATTCGCCGTTCCGAGATGTGAGCTTGGCGGGGATTGTGAACTGGCGGAACAGGCCGCAGTCGGCTGGGTTGCGCGTGAGGTCGCCGGATGAACTGCAGTTTGCCATCGTTAGTCTTGTACCTGTCTGTCGCATGCGGGACAAGGTGCTTCCACATACTGGATCACGACGCAGAGGTCGGACAGGGCTGTGTGGTGGCAGACCTCTTCTGGTGTGAGCCTGGCGTGTGTAGCGTTCGTGCTGCCGGGATTTCCGGGAGTATGGAAGGCCAAGTCGCCACAGAGCGTTCTACGGGGATGGGAGACTGGAGTTGGAGGTGGTGAGAGGGCAGCGAGGGCTCCTCCGCGAGGACGGTTCGTGGTCTCAGGTCCGCACATGGTGTTGGCGGGCTAATGTATGGATGGAGGGATGTCTTTAATAATAATTGATGTATTGAGAAGTAGATTGCTTGGAATATTGGCCCATCCGGTGAAAGAGAGAGCAGCTGTGTACATCTTCTTAAATCAATGCTCCTCCTTGCTGACTCGAACTACCATGTGATTCTCGCTCGTTTGAGGCCCAAGAGCTGAAACTTGCTCGGTCCTCCTCAAACTAACGCGCACCAAAGACAAGTGACAGACAGACCGTGAGATCGGTCTAAGAGCATCTAAGAGCACCTTGATGGCCGCCGTCAGTCCAAAGTGCCGCCTCGTCTCCACCCGCCCAATCACAACTAGCTCAATTTCCGCATTGGGCAACATCTGAGCATGTTTCCACCACCACTCTTCTCAAACTTGCTCATACAGGTTCACAAAGCACAGCCAGAGCACCAAACTAACCCGTCCATTAGCTCTCGGCTTTATGAGGGCCCAGGTACCGATAGCCACGTCACGCAATGACTGTGGGCGGGCACGCACCCGGTTGATTGGTTGCTCCTGGAAGAGTAGATTTATCAGCAGCCGGCGTGTAGGAGAACCCGCGCCGGGAGAGCTTTCTCCATCTGACAAGCAATGCAGAGATCTGGCAGCAAGAGACAGGTAGCATTTATCAAATGTCGTCATTTGCTGGCTCCGTTACCCCTCCTTCCTCTTGCTTAACCCTCTTCCCTCTTCCTGAACATCATCGTCAAACAACCTCAACCTTCTCTCGTCTACCCGCTCCAATCTCATAAGTCATACCCGAGGCTTTCGTGGTCTCTCTACACCGTAAAATCAACCGGAAAACCATGTCTGTCGGCACCTACTCCCTCCCGGCGCTTCCATACGCCTATGATGTAAGTCCGGTCGCTTACCAGAAAGGCCCATGATCCCCTCATTTTTCAGAGCCAGGCCCGGAGATTCATGCAACATGGGTTTCGTGATACCTATCACCCAGTATTAGACTTGCTAACAGAGTCCCAGGCTCTGGAGCCCAGCATCTCTGCCCAGATCATGGAGCTCCACCACTCCAAGCACCACCAAGCCTACGTGACCAACCTCAACAACGCCATCAAAACATACGCCTCCGCCGTCGCTTCCAACGACATCGCCGGCCAAATTGCCCTCCAGGCTGCCATCAAGTTCAACGGCGGCGGCCACATCAACCATTCCCTCTTCTGGGAGAACCTAGCCCCCTCCTCCTCGAACGACGCCAACCCCAGCAGCGCTCCGCTCCTCGTCGCCGAGATCAACAAGGTCTGGGGAAGCCTGGATGGCTTCAAGGCCGCCTTTACCAAGACCCTTCTGGGCCTGCAGGGCAGTGGATGGGGCTGGCTCGTCAAGGACGCACAGGGGTTGCGCATCGTGTCCACCAAGGACCAGGACCCTATCGTAGGCGGGGAGGTGCCCATTTTCGGCGTTGACATGTGGGAGCACGCCTACTACCTCCAGGTACGCCTAAATATTCCCAATTCAGCCCTCGGTTCCAAATTGGCCAGCTAACGTACCCTCTTTGCTTGGATAGTACCTTAACGGAAAGGCTGCTTACGTAGAGAACATCTGGAATGTCATCAACTGGAAGACAGCAGAGACTCGCTTCCAGGGAGGGGCGGCTGATGCCTTCAAGGTCCTCAAGGCATCCATCTAAAGTGTAAAATCAATAACCTAGCTAGCTTGACGTTACAGAAATAGATGTGCGTGCATAGCTACATACAAAAGTGCTCTGGAGAGACGACCTTGTCCGAATCGTATCCGCTTTTTATGCCCAAATATGACCGTTTCCCGACGCCTCCCCTGTATCATATATGTCGTGAATAGAGATGGCTCGTGTGGCTGCATTGAGCTGAAGCAAGCCACAGGGTTCATTAATAGCACGGCTTCGTGTGGTGTATCACCCGATTTGTGTCTAGAACGGAGCTGGAGGGCGTTTGACTTAGACACTTTTAGGGGTTTTAAACGATATTGCAGATGATCAGTCTATCAGAAACGACGGCAAGACTTCAATTTAAGAATTTAAGCGAGCGAGCATTGGTTCCTGGGAACTTGGACTCTCGAATCATCATCTGTAACACGGTTGGGAGCGCTCACAAATCAGGAACACAATATTTCCTAGACATGAGGTTAATATTTACGAAGTCCCGGTAAATTCAAGAAATTAGATGTCCTCAGTCAAACTAAGCCCTCGCCTAAATTTTCATTGAACTTCTGTTTTTTGGTTCAGGGATTTCGCGTGTTGGGTCCAGCAACGCTCGTTGTGCTCCAAATGTCTCAGAGGCTTCTCCTTCGGGTCCCCCGACCGATGCCGTAGCCTGCAATATTATATGCCGTGTCAAGTTGAGTTCAAAGACATCAGAAGATCTTCTGGTTCCTTCTTTTGGACTAATGGAGGCGATCATGTCGGGGCATCCAAGCTCACGTGCGTGTGCTGCCCAATTCCCAACAAGAAGGAAATCACAGGACCGGGCTCGTCCAGAAGAACTTGGCAAATGTAAAGGAAGGGGGGTTTCGATTAGGGGATATCGTGTTTCCACTACCACGCAGCTGAATACACTAATTCGGAAGAGACGTCAGAGTTATGGGGCGACCGAGGGGGTATTTATCCCGTGTGTATCAAACAGAGCAAAACTTATAAAGGCGGTATGTGAGCTACCGCCATTCCGTTTGGCGAAGATATGATGCTTTACATCAGCGAGTTGAGGGAAATGGTCTTGAATCCGTCGCTTACTTTGGAACTTGTCCCTCTTCCCTCTGAGACCTCGACAGCACTCATTCAGACGAAGTCTTCCTGCAATTATCCAAAATGTCGAGCATGATATGGCAAATTGTGCTTCTAGCACTTGGGTAGGCACTCACTTGAAAGCGACTTGCCCAATGTGTCGTCGATTAACAATTTCTATCAGGGCTACTTCGGTTCTTGCGCAGGAAAAAACGGTGACTGTGACAAAGACTATCACTGCTTGCGGCTCGGCCTGCTACTCTACCCTTCCTGAACGCACGTCAACCGTATACATCTGCACCACTTCGACGACACGGACCGAAAGTATCATCACTCCTTCGTCTCCCGGGCCTCGTTCTACTCCCATACCCTCAGAATCTACAGGATGGACCGAGACCATGCCTTCATTTACACCTGGGCCGCCGGCGTCATCACCCTCAACTTTCTCCCGCTCTATGAGCAGCCAGCCAAGCCAGCCAAACCGTCCAGGCCCTTCCTTTTCCACCACATCCTCCAGTTCAGGGTTCGAAAGTCAGACTCAAAGCACCCGTACCGCTTCGTCGGGGACACCATCTCCAACAGGTCCTTCCTACTCAATCACGTCATCAAAGCCCATGTCAACGAGTCGGAGCACAGCCGAAAGCTCTTCGATGAACACATCTCAAACAGGGTCTTCTTCAAGCGGGAGACCAAGTGCCACTTCATCACCAGACTCAAAATCCTCCTTGGTCCCCTCCACCAAGCCTACCTCCCCGAACACATCTCCGCCTAGCACGCGTGGTATCAGTACAGGTTTTCTCACTTCCAGTCCACTAAACCTGACGACAACAGTAAAGATTAGTTCGACCAGTTTTATCACTGTCTCCAAGTTTACAACCATCAGCATGTCAAGCCCCGGGGCTCCCAGCACATCAAGCGGCTCAGGGTCCAGCCGTAGCGACAACTCAACAACAGGGAAGTCGGATGCAACGCTTCCAACTAGCACATCTATCCCGTTAGGAAGTTCTACAGGATTCAGTCATACTACGAACGCCTCCGGTTCCAATTCGAATCCTGGCTCCACGAGCTATCCAAGCTCACCAACAGGCTCGGTCTCCAGGACATCTCAAACATCAGGTGTTTCCCCAACAGGAAGCCAGTCCGCAACGGAATCCACAAACTATTCTCGCCCTGGCTCCTCTGCTGCTTCAAAAACGAGTGTTGAGACTTGCACCGAGAGTATCAAAACGCCATGTCACTCTGATACGAAGACGCAGCCTTCGGCGGCCAGCAGTAGGAGTAATAGCACACCTACGGCACCCACTACAGGTCTTACTTTCAGCATACCAACTGATACCACACCCGGCGCGCCTACAACAGGGTTGACCTCCACGACACCCAACAGTTATACGACAGAGATAACCTCAGGCACTCCAACAGCACCCACGACTGGTCTAACTTTTACTGCTCCATCGATGTCTACAGGAAGTTCAACTTTCACTCCGCCGACGGCTCCCACGACCGGTCTGACATTCAGTACCCCGGCTGAGAGCTCAACCCTCCTGACTTCAAGGACGCCAACTGCCCCTACCACTGGGTTGACTTTCAGTCTATCTAGTTCTTCTACCGTAGATCTGAGTTCCAGCAGGTCAACCACACCGACGACGGGTCTGACTCTCACCACACCGACAGCGCCAACGACAGGTCTGACTTTTAGCACGCCAACGGGGTCTACGGGAGACACGAGTTTCACTGCACCAACAGCCCCTACGACGGGTCTTAGTTTCACCTCCGGGAGTGGTTCTACGATAGATCTGAGGTCAAGCACATCAACAGCGCCTACGACAGGATTGGCGTCCACTACCGCTAGTGCTTCGACAGTAAATTCGACTTCAAGTACACCAACCGCGCCAACGACGGGCCTGACTTTCACTACCCCAGGTACTCCTATAACAGATCTGAGTTCAAGCACAGCAACAGCGCCTACAACAGGGCTGACTTTCACTACCCCCGGCGTTTCTTCAGTAGATTCGACTTCAAGTACGCCAACCGCGCCGACAACAGGGCTGACTTTCACTAGCCCCGGTGCTTCGACAGTAGATCTGAGTTCAAGTATACCAACCGCGCCTACGACGGGCCTGTCGTTCACTGCACCAACTTCCTCTACACCAAGCTTGACTACTAGCACCCCGAGGAGCCCTAATACCGATTCATCTAGTATTCACACAACCTCAATGACAGATACTCTCTCGCAACCACTCTCTACCTCAACAGGTAGTGGAGAGAATTCTTCAAGTAGCTCACGCTCAGACACCACGTCGCCAAATAGCTCGAACACTCGCTCTGGTTCCTCAGAAACATCTTCCCGTTCAAATACAGGGGCGTCATCATTTTCACCATCTTCATCTTCGAGTGGTGTCATCACCGATTCAATTTCCAGTTCCAGAACAATACAAACGACGGACTATTCCCGGCCAGCCCCCACTTCAAGCCATGGTTCGTCAAGCCAACAGCTGCCATCGTCGCCATCTTCCACGGTCTCCTCAGTTTCTCAAACCGAAAGCTCTTCCTCGTTTACAACCAGCAGTTTCACCCAGGCGTCCAGTCAACCTATGACATCTCAAGTTCAATCTAGCAACCCTTCCACTGCAGTGACCTCTACACCGGTATCTTCTAGCGAAATACCGAGTTCTAGGACCGAAACCAGGCCATCCTCGCAAGTTAACACCTCATTCCAAATCACCATTTCAACAACATCTAATGTTCAGTCATCTCCAACATCTCAGCCGGCAACGCCTTCTCTGAGTTCTGGCTCCTCTTCGATTTCGGTTTCTTCGGACAAAACACCAATATCTACCACATCTCGAGGATCGCCGACTGGTTCTACGTCGGCAAGCTTGAGTGATTCAACGAATCTATCCAGCACCAGGTACACAACCACTGGAGATGAGAAATCTTCCATTATTAGCACTATCCCATCTTCATCAACTACCACTGTGGTCCCCTCTAGCTCGCAAATTAGTTCTTCATACAGCAACTCTACTAGTATGACTTCCGGTCTAAAGTCTTCAATTTTATCTTCTTTCACAACTCCTACTAGTAGCGGGACGAGCACGACCAGTAACGGGTCAATGTCAACACCCACAGGATCATCGACCTCAAGTGACGCAGCAAGGCCTGGCACAAGTTCGAAATCTACGCCAAGCATCACACCATCTTCAGCTGGAACCTCGAGCCCAACGACCTTATCGTCGTCATTCACCTCACGGGGCACTCCCTCCTCGGGGACTGTGGTTTCATCTACCCCAGCTACTAGCACCGGGGACTACAGTTTTGGCCCCTCGACCACGGACTCGACAGGATGGACGACATCCACTTTGTCCAGCCAAACTTCTTCAATTTCTTCTACCTCAGGTAGTTCCACGAGCCCAAGTAGACAGGAATCGAACACGGTTCCCTCGGCTTCTCAGTACCTCCCCCCGCCGGCTTATGGACATCTGCCCCCAGACTACGGCCACACGCTCACCACCGTCCGAATCTAATCCTATAACCATGCAGCCGCAAGTCTAATGCGCAAACCTGAAATCAAGCCTCTTGTTCCCTTCATCAGTCGTGGTGTCCAGATAATGCTTCCTCTCGTCCTCCGTCATCGCGTTCCACTTTTTGTCGCGGCTCTTGTTCCTCCAGACGTAGTACGCCTTGGTCAGGAAGTACAGGACGATGTTCATGGACACGACCGCGACGAGGTTCTTGTTGCCCCTCGCGTACCTGGGCGCGTCGTCCTGGCGGTACACGTTGGAGGCGATGATCCCGGACGCCTGGACGGACATGTTGTACACGGCCGCCGACACGGTCCGGAGGCGCACCGCGTTCGAGTTCTTGGAGTTCCAGCTGACTTGGATGGCGTGCGCTACAAGTTTTTGTTTCGTTGATTAGTTATGTCATACAATTTAATTCTGTTTTTCTAGTTCAAGACTGCGACTTACGTGATGGGTATGCGAGCAAGAGTGTCAGGATGACCCAGCCCACCCAACGATTGACCTGTGTGATGTCGACGACGTTGAGATATATCAGGAAAGGGAGGGCCCAGATCTGTGATATGACTGTGACGTAGGCTCTCTGCTTCAGAGTTTCAGAGAGGTACGTGATGCCCAGTATGGTGACAATCGAGAGTGCCATGGGCGGCACTGTGAGAAGGTTTGTAATAATGACGCTGAATCCGAGCTTCCGGAGTGTGAGCGTAAAGTATTGGTTCGTAGGATTCACGGGGATGCCCCAGACGAGCCCAATGGCGTAGAGCGGCCACATATCATAGTCTGCCAAAGACTGCAGCAGCAAGCGCGGGGTGATTGGCTGGCGGTTGTGCATGTCTCCCTTGCTTGGGTCATCACGAATGACGCGGTTCACCATGATAGTTTCCTCGCTTTTCGTCGTCAGTGATGGTAATCCTATCAGGAAGGATGATCTAACTTACCGTTCAGTGAACCAACCATCTTTGCCACGCAGGATACCCTTGGTTTGGGTAGGCCCTGCAGGCATCAGGAAAATGGCAAGAATACCAACAAGCAGGGTCAGGATGCCCTATGTGAGGTATCAAGTTAGCTCATGATGCAAAATATGGGAAATGTCATCCACATACCTCAAAAAGGAACAGCCATCTCCACCCCTCCAAACCATGAAGACCTCGAAGCTGAAGGAATCCAGCGCCCAAGAAGCCTGAAATAATGTCTGCGACTTGAAGTGCGGTCCAGAAATAGGCAAGCCGGACAGAGAGCTCAGCTCCTTTATAGAAGTAGCTCAAGTACAGAATGACATCTGGGATGAATCCTCCTTGCTAGGATATTGTAAGTACATGTTTTCTGAAAACATTTTTTAGGAGCGATTTACTTACCAGAATCGCTAGGAGAGAACGGCAAGCCAAAAACGACGTTCTTCCGTTAAGCCAGAATTGAGCCTGTTATGAAGGCGTTGGTCAGTAAGGTCTTGGTTCAAGAGTATCAAGGGTGAAACACGAACCGCAGAAACAACACTCCACAGGCACAGCTGAAGAGGGATCCAACGATCAGGTCCCATCCACTTGCTAATAAGTTGGGATGGCAACTCGGCACAGAGGAACGACAGCCTGAACACTGTGATTCCAAGATTATAATCTACGATATATTAGCGCCTTCGTTGCATATCTGACAGTACAACACCGATACATACCATTTGTAGTCATCCCCAGGTCTCCAAGAAAGTTGTCAGACACGGCTTGAGAGATATTGGCACGGTCCAGCTCAAGAGCAATGAACATGATGCAAGCAAAGACCATGATGCGGAGGTCAATCTTTCGGATCACTTTCTTCTCTTCATTAATCGTCCACCGCGCAAGTGGGTCGAACCTATGTAGGTTCTCCCAGTCTGCCCGGGGCTGGTACCGCTTCGCCAGGTCCGGATCATCGAACACAGACTCTTGCGTGGCGATGGCTTCCCCATCGGCGATCGTCTTGGAGCGTTGCCACCAGAAGGTGTTCTCCGCAAGGGGGGACCCGAGGGGAGGGATATCTGCTAACGAGCGTGCCTGCACTTCATACGGCTCCTTTTCGGTGCCTGACAACACCTGTGAGGAATTACTCTTGTTCTCGCCGTTGTCGGACGAGGAAGTGTATGCCTTCTCAGTGCGCTCAGCACGCCGAACGAAAGCAGTCGACATAACTCAGCCCGGTGAAAACGGAGAATTAAAATTGAGTGTCTGTTTATATTCGCTAATCGGCTTGATATGAGATCCTTTTCTCATGTTTTCAAAACTTTATCGGCGTCTCCTCTTTATAGGGTGTCCTTGGGTTTTGCGGATCTTGATTTCGCAGGGAGGGAGTTTGAGCACGACATTTGGACAAACGCGCACGATCACAACGGCTGAACCAGTGATGTGATATTCTAGACCCCTGGTAAACAAGGGGGATGGATAAGATAAACCAACAGTTCGCCTCATCTTCTCGGAGGCGTGATGCGGCGCTTCAATAGTCCCAAGGTCGACGCAGCTAACTTGCATTCCGTATCACGTTGGGCTTCAATCCCGTCATATTCGTCTTCACAAGCTAAAGTTCGAGGCAATTCTATTGAAATCAGTTTCCTCTCGAGCTAGAGCAGTGTGAATCGACAAAAACACAGTGTAGGACGGCATCGGCAGCTCCAGTTTAGTGACAACCCTTAGAAAATCGAATAATACCCTACTGCCTCGGTTGTAAAGCCAAATACGCCCCTGGGTGGGGGTAACTGAAAGAAACCGCGGAATCCTACCCATGGCCCCGGTGAGGAGGAGTGTCCACGAATATGTTCATGATGGCATCGCTGGTCAAACTGGCGCAACTTGCGATGTCCGCCCCCGAAGGCCGCAATATGCAGCATGACACGTGTTAGCGTGGACTAGAGAACCAGCGTAAGCTAGAGAGCCAGGGCGGTTGCGATTTCTCCATTATTGTTGCCGGGAGGGAAAGGTATTCCGTTTGGCAATCGAGACGAGATCTCTATGGTTTCGTAAACCTCTTCGCGCATCAATCGTAGGACTCACCGACTTGTTCTTGAGGAATATAGTGTCGTATTGATTAATCAATACCAAGTCCGTTTTATTGCAGAGTGCTTCTTATCTGCGCAGTGTTTCCCAACTTTGCCCTCTCAGAGCACGTAATAGAGTAGCCTCTATTCGCCATCCGGTTTGGGGGGGATGGGAGCACGGCAAGATGGCCAATCATTGCCCTTTCAGTTCCCATTTCCAACCAAATTCGAGATATGATATGGTGCGGAACTATGCATACGGGATGCATTAGCTCGAGATGACCGAATCACGACTTGTTATTGTCAAGATGCGACACACCCAAACTGTGTGGGGGGATCGCGACATGTGGCTGGGGGTTGGCGCCATATCTCCCACGCAACGGTTAATCAAGAACGTGAGACCGGATGTCGGATCAATCGCCAGTTTGTAATCACAGGCTTCTTAGATCTTTTAGCAATAGATCATGTGTCATGTGTCAGGATAGCTACATGGCCGCATGGTGCTTCAATTATAAAAAGGAGGGGGGATCTCGCGATATACGGCATCAGTTTGATTAAGCGCAACATCATCGGGCAGCCAATCTTTAAACCCGCCAATTTTATTATCATTTTTCTCACCATGGCTCCCTCTGCTATTGAGGTTGACTCTGTCAACACCAAGTCCAAGTACCCCGCTCCCCTCCAACTATCGGGCGCTCTCAAGGAGTATGAACACTTCGAAGTCACCCCTGCCATTGGTCGCGAGTACCCCAAGGCAGACTTGGCAGAGCTTCTCAATGCTCCAAACTCTGATGACTTGATCCGAGATCTGGCAATCACCAGTTCGTACCACTCCCACCCAGATAAATAAAGAGTCAATGTGCGGAGTGCTAACTATCAAAAATCCAAGTCTCCCAGCGAGGTGTTGTCTTCTTCCGCGGACAGGATAACCTCACCAACGAGCTCCAAAAGAAGCTCATCATCAAGCTCGGCCAGCTTACAGGGCGCCCGTCAACCTCGGGGCTGCATATCCACCCAGTGCTCAACTCGCAGCGGGACCTGGGCGGCGATGACCTGGAAATCAGCACCATTAGTTCCAAGCAGCACAAGCAGATATATAAGAAGCCAGAGGAGAATGACGGCGTCGTCCCGAACAAGAAGGAGGGCCCCCAGTGGCACGCCGATATCTCCTTCGAGCCAGTCCCCGCAGACTATTCCTCTCTGCGCCTAACGGAGCTGCCAGCAACTGGAGGAGGTGAGTAGTTGTTGAGAGTCTCGAGCAAAGTCTTGGTAATTCTAACTAGAAGTCTTTGTGTAGATACTCTCTGGGCTTCAGGATATGACATCTACGACCGACTTAGCCCGGCCTATCAAAAGTTCCTGGAGTCTCTGACCGTCACGTTCAAGCAACCATACTTCAGCCAGGCAGCGGAGAGGAATGGCTTCAAGCTCTACGACGCGGAGCGAGGATCTCCGGAAAACGTAGGGAGCGAATTGAAAGCCATCCACCCCGTTGTCCGAACCAACCCCGTCACTGGCTGGAAGAGCGTGTTCCCAGTTGGAGGACACGTCGGCCACATCAATGACGTGACCAAGGAGGAGAGCGACAATCTTCTCAAGTGGTTCAACAAGATCGTAGCAAGAGACCACACTCTTCAAGTCCGTCTTAAGTGGCAGCAGCCTAATGATATCGGTGAGCATCAACCCGCTTCGATTGGGATGATCTGTGCTAACTCAAGGTTAATAGCCATCTGGGACAACCGCAGTGTGTTCCACTCTGCTACTTTTGACTACCTCGATATC